CTCCTGTGGCAGATTGAACTTTTTCAGCTGGAGAAAGCACAACCTCTGCTGGGCCTTTGTCAGAATATGGCTTTCGCACCGGAGGAACCTTTTCATAGTTCCTCGAACTTTTAGCAGAAATACACGGATTTTGGCGTGTTTGCAACGCGGGAACTAGGAACGATTGCAAATGCAACCAGGAAAACATTCCTAGGGAAACCATATCAGAGAACTACCCTGGTGGCTATAAGTTCCTAGAGCTTAAGTTTCTAGAACTATTGGCGGAAGTTGCCGGATTTTGGCGCGTTGATGGAGAATGCGAGTACTATTTGTTTGCTCAGGCTCTGGCGTTTTCAGCACTGTCAAAATAAAGGTCCTACTGGACGTGTGAATGCAACCAGGAACACAATTAGTTCTCGGGGAACTACCCTGGTGGCTAGTTCCTAGAACTAAGTTCCCAGAACTATCGGTGCGAAAGCTTCTAATGGAGTCAATGTGACTGTCCCAATTCAAGCACAGGAACCTGAATGACTCCACTGCTGCCACAGTGCTGTTCATAATGGTGAGTGGGGGAGTGTTGGCGTGTTTCTCCTGAAGCACTGAATAGCCGCGTTTCCACTGACGGGCCAGGGCCGGGCCGTGCTAGTGCGTGCCAGGGCCAGTCGCGTTTCCACTGTCACTTCCGGGGCTTGATCGGGGCTTACTCGGGGCCAACGGCCAGGATTTCTGGCCCGTCGAATACCTTGGGCCAAAGCGGGCCAGCTCGGGCTAGAGGAGTGGTTACGAACAGAGGCGGGGTTTACCTGAGTCTGGAGACGACAGCGCTGGATGATTCTGTCAGCATTAAATAGGCTACTTTTCAAATAGTTTAACTCACTTTCATGTTTGAATGCCTTCTGTTTGTGATCCGATGTGGATTCTGATCACCGTATAAGGTAGAAATATTTATACGCGATGCAAAAGACTATGCGCGCATTGCGCGCTAACCATTACCATAGTAAACATAGTAAACGCTTGAAGATACGCATAGTAAAAAAACATGGTGAACGCTTGAAGAAATCAGACCAATCATAAGGCTATCACAATCATGTTTTTATTCTATCTGTCAGTAGCCTACGTCTCGCTCTTTATATACCGGACTATCATAAAAAAGCAACTTTTTTTCGGGAGCTTCCTCTGTTTCTCTGACTGAAAATATAGCCGAGTCGAGAGAGTGCTAAAGCTCCGCAGGTCGTGTTTTTGGTGGCATAGTGCTATATTTGTAGAAAGTAGGCTATCATTCTTTCTAAATGTGATATTTGTCCTGTAACTACCAAATAAACAGAAACAGCCTCGACTGAATAAGTAAGTGTGTCCTCTTTCTTTTGTGAAATAGACCTAACGGTAATTTATTTCTGTGTGACTAATGTGCAATTTTGACATAACTTAATTCATTATGATCAATGTATCACTTTTTATTGTAAACCTGTGGTAAAACATCGATGCTTGGGTTTTAAATATTCAAGTAAACAACAAAAATGCCAGCAAACCGCCGCTTTTATCATGTTTGTTTTGCGATGCACGCTCTTTCCAGTGATTTCATTCTGATTAGTTTTCTGATAAAACTTCCATTTGTTGGTGAAATGATGGGTTAGTGTGACGTTGTTCCAGAGATGCGTGTTAGGGGCGTGTTTTAGTGACGCGCTGTGGAGCTTCTGGCCCGGCAGTGGAAACGCAAGCCAGGTGCTACTGGCCCGAGGCTATTAGCCCGGCACGGCCCGTTTAAAGCCCTGGCCTAGCACTGGCCCGACAGTGGAAACGCGGCTAATCATCTCCACTGTTTTGAGCTTGTTCAGCTCCAGGTTGTGCAGGAGGGTCGGTGCTGAAGGTGTTGATGGGTGTGTGGAGAGAAGGTCAGAACAGGTTAGGTATTTGTGGGAGATTTTTATTATTCGCTCTGCCCATTAGATATATGGTATGACTGATAAGCTCTGTGTGCCTTTAAAGAATATTTGTAGGATGAGCCAACCAGATGAGCCAACAGAGTTGCATTTTAGCTCTTCCAGTTCCATTGTCCCGAAGTCAATGGGTTTTTTGAATGTGGTTTTGATTGAATGGCTGAAATAAGGTCTCTGGTGAACACAAGCTCATGACACTTTCACGCTTTATTCTACGACATAATTTATGTGATTTAACCCATCCAAGTTAGTGCACACACATTAGGAGTAGTGAACAAACACACACACACTCCGAATAGTGGACATACACCCAGAGCAGCCATTTGGGGGTTATGTGCCTTGATCAAGGACAACTCAGTCATTTCCCGTCTGTATTGAGAATCAAACCGCAACTTTTGGATTACGAGTCTGATTCTCTAACCATTAGGCCACGACTGCCCACCGCTACAGCATCTTCTAGTATCATAACTAGAAATCAGCTACATAGGCCTATTAAAATTACAGTATTGTTAAGGACTGAGTTGAACAGCTAGTTGGCTTGAGTAACAGTCAAAAGGTGAATCCTTTGATAATTACACTTTTCTACATTGATCATCAGTTGTGTGATATTGATTGAACTGCTTATTTCACTGCTTGTATTTATTAGGAGCAATTAATCAGTGCTTTATGTTTTTCAGGTACAGCATACTGCATAGTGTTCATTGTATAAAGTAAATATAATTAATTAACAAATTATTTGTTACTTTGTTAAAGCTACAAATTCCTTTTCTCTCTTTTTTTGTTGTTTGATTAACATTGATAAACAGTTGCAGGTACAGAATATTAGGCTGCTGTCACTTTAAGACTGCACAGATCCAATATAATGATACGCATTCATTTTCTTTCTCAGTTGTTTACAACACATAACCGACTTGTGTTTATGAGGATACTCGTTTTGACTAGTTTTTACGTGCACGGGTCTGTTCAAGCTCAAAAAGAAGCGCAAGAGAACTGAATTCGGTGTTCACTTGCTGTCAGCGCGGCTCTGTGTGCGCGCACAAAAAAACAGCACACAGTTTTCTTGCGCTTGATGTTTCAACTGACAGGACATAAAAACACATGCAAATGATAAACTTTCACTCTATGATGATTAACTTTGCAATTAATCTGCAAATCACATGCGCTCCGAACTGGGGGGCAGCTGGCCCGTATGGATCCCGGATCATCCTGCAATGTGCATATCTCGGATGAACATGTAGCGCCCCCTACCTGTCTTTCTTGTAACTAAGTAGGACAGCGCTCCAGATTCATGAACTGAATGCCTACAGATGTTGAAGTTAGGCCCCTCTGATGTCACTAACTGAATTAATTCTCCTGAATGAAAATTATAATAAAACTCTATACTCAATTATGTTTAAACACTCTGGTATAAACTATTTTTGAAGGAATAAAAACTCTTTGAAAGTAACAAAAATGTGAAGAATTTAATTTGTATAAAATAAAATGAGAGTTAAAGTTGTTTATAAACAAAGTACCAGTATGTAAATAATTCAAAATCACCAATAGACACAATATCACACTGAATAGGCAATATATTAAGTGTCTAAATTAATGAATGTGTATGTCACACATTCACTAAAGATGAAAAGGACAAAAATCACAGTTTTTAAGTTCACTGAATAACAACATATGAATAATAAACAAAACACTGTGGGCCCACACACACACACAACAATTAGTCCCCACACACCGTTGCAGGCCTGAGACGTTGCTGGGGTACGTGGTGGCCTTTGAAACAACAAAACTGGCCGCTTCACTCTCCTGAGCGGGGGAAAAACAATATTACACAGGTACCTGAATTCAGTTTGGAACCATAAGTGACTCAGCTGCACTTGAAGAAAACTCAGGAAATCTTCCTCTGGTCGTTGCTGCGGGCTCTCTGAATAAGAGCAAACGACTCCTCTGCACAGTAGTAGGCCTCGGGATATCGTCCTCCGTTGCGCGGCTGCGCTCACTCTGAAGACGGGCCACCGACTCCTGTCACGGCCGGCAAACTCCCGATTCTCCCGTTAAAACGGAGCACTACGTGGTCCTCACAAAAATCAACAAACAACACCTAAAGTAAGTGACTTCAGTCTTTGAGTCTGTCACCAGTTACCGTTCAAATAACTTGAAACACTGTCCGTATAGGCGATCTGTATCACAAACGAAACAAAAACACCCCGCGATGTTGAGCTAACATACACGGAGAACTCAGTTACAAACAAAATAACCCTTATACTCAAATTTGTGTGACTTACACACGTTACTATGGACAATTAGGGTTTTAATCAGATGGATTATCGATTAAACAGCTTTTTGTTACCCCAATCTCTCAGTCTCTTTTCAAATCGGCTGCACTTGACAATATCTTCTCTCCTCTCTCTCACTCTTCTCGCGCTTGTCAAAAAAAAACTCTCATCTCCCGAACAACCACTCACATTACACAAAACACCAGTGAGGGCGGGACTTAATTCACATTACCCAATAAAATAATCAAACACCTAACATGATGGTTAAAGCCACGTTTTCCACATGTACACCTCAATCAAACTTGTATCTCATGCACGCGCGCTCTTAAAGGAACAAATACCGTATACTCACAAACAAAGATGAATGGTTAATACACATTTTATCTCTTAATTAAACATAAATACAAGCTAAGAAATTGAGGTAACTTATTAACAACATACTTATAACCTACTGGGTTACAAACACATAGCGATATTGTAGATATACATATTGTAGGGCTTAACTCAATTATTCTGGAGGGGGAAAACAAACCTTTCATCCTGGAAATCATAGAGACCATCGTGCCAAATTTCTGGTCTCTATGATTTACTGTCTATCGCAATACAAGACGAAGGCAAGGCAACAACTAACATGACATTAAAAAGTTACCATTGTATAAAAATCTGTAATGAGTTAATACATAAAAATACTTACCCGTAAAAGGTTATCCAATTTCTTCGGGAATTTAAATCTTGGTGGTTTCACAACCAGAAGATGCACATTGTTGTGGCATCATTGACTCTTACTGAGTGACGACGTGCTGACCGCTCCAAGATGGTGGACGGGCCGACGTGTCCGGTTGAATGGAGCATCTATACGGTTCCAACACCTTTAGTGCTTGGACTTCTAATGACATATCATGTGTTTTGGTAAACTGTTCAACAGCTAACTCTCAAGAGAGGGACAAAGTTGAACCTCGAGATCAAGATCAGAGAAAATGTGCTCGATAAACGAATAGGCATACAATTAGCAAATATGTGGTTAATGCTGAGTTCTGGTGGATTCAGTATCTTTTTAGTATAGGCTACATGTGATTGCTGGTTGTTTTCTGGTCAAAAAAGCCCACATCTCTGTGATATCCTCAGTCTCTGTGATCTTCTGGTTTGATATATCTCAGGTCCCTCCTACAATGTGCATCTGAGGGACTTTTTATTCATTCACCAGCAGGGGGAAATCATAAGTCTGCCACTTAACAGCACGTCTCCTTAAAGGGGGGGGTGAAATGCTATTTCATGCATAGTGAGTTTTTTACGCTGTTAAAGAGTTGGATTCCCATGCTAAACATGGACAAAGTTTCAAAAATTAAGTTGTACGTTTGATTGAGTATTTCTGTTCTCAAAATACTCCTTCCTGGTTGTCACAAGTTTCGGAAAGTTTTTTTCGAGTATGGGCGCGTATGACGTCAGATGCGCTGGAATTTCCTTATACGGTCCTAAGGGCACTTCTCTCGGAAGGGCGCGCGCGCAGCTGTAGAGCGATAGCCGTAACCAGAGACTATTTAGAGACATGCCACTTCCCCAATCCTTAATACAACTATATAGGGAAAACCCGTAACGCCAAAGATGGCGGTTGTATGCACATGCCCCGCCCCTCCCGCTGGAAAGCCAATCGTCTGCTTTTAACAGTCAAGCCGGAAAACATTTAAGCCTATCGTCTGGTTCCACCGACGCATGCGCACAGTTGAGGTTTGCGACAGCGGAAAATATGTTACTGTTTGAAAAGGCGGCAGATTTGATTTGTTAGTTGTGTAAATATCAGACATCCCAAGTCTCCCGGAAGTTCCGGGAGTCTCCCGCAAGTTTATGTCCCGGTGACCAGTGAAAGTGCAGTTCTGGGTCTCTGCCCATTCATTTAGATAGGAGCCTGGTCTTGTTAGTCCGAAATAGCTGCCCGGAGGCGTTGCCAAGATGGCGGCCGAGTGGCATGACTTGCCTAAAAGGACTTTGCCGTAACCTATGCCCATCAAAGCGCTGTGCATCGGCTGCGCTGCAATATGTCACTAAAGAAGTGTGTTTTTGGTTGCCAAGACAACACTGCACAGATTCCCAAAGAATCAAGCGTTAAGGGACCAGTGGATGGAGTTTGTTTTTCCAGAACATCAACACAGTTGTGCAAGTGTTCTTGTCTGTTCCATGCATTTCGAGAATTATTTTTTTTTATAAACAAAGCCCAGTTCGAAGCCGGATTTGCTAATCGTTTAGTTCTCAAGGATGGAGCAGTTAACACTAAAGGTTAACGGTCTTGCATTGGAACCGCAGGCGGTGAGTAGAACTGCTTCAAATATCTGTGTGTGTGTCTATCGGCGTGTAACTTATTCGGCGTGATTATTTAGCTCCGCCCACACGGCACGCCTCCACACCCTCGGCTTTTTCCGGAAAGACTCGGTACAGCCTATCTTTCTTTTATAAATATAATAAAACTAAAGACTTTTTGGAGATATGATGGATGCAATATGACTCTATAGGTACTCAAGATTAACATGAGATTGACTGAAACTGAGTGTTTCACCCCCCCTTTAAAGGGTGTACTCACACTAGGCACGGTTGCCATGAACCGGGCCCGAGTACGATTACCATACGAACGAGGGATTACTAAACTAGAAAACACTTGACAAAACTAGACTAACAGACAGCAAATACGAGATCAAGAACAATAAGACTTTCTACAAGGTACTCTCGGGTAGAATCTCACAATGTACAACAATGAACCGGCACAGGACAAGCAAACACAAGGGGATTAAATAGAGAGAAACTAACAACCAACAGGTGATACAGATAAGGTGATAAGGGACAGACCGAGGATAACAAGGGGGCGGGGCAAGGGAGACAACACAAGCACATGGCCAAAACACAAGACCATGTGCTTGCACACAAAACATGATTCTGTCATGATCCTGCCTCAAGAAGAGAAAAATCAAGGACAGGAGGGCAGAATCATGACAGACACAGAATATATAACCCTCTTTTTTTATAGTGGAAAAAATAATATATACACAACAGGAAAGTAGGCCTACTGTGTAAATGTTCTTGTATTGATCATAAAGATTGTTGGTAGAGATTCATAATTCAAACAAACAGCAAAAGAACATCATTGATTCACACTTTCACTCATCAGACAAACATACACAAGTCTCGTGGATGACCTGAATCTTAATAAACATCAACCCACATCATGATTCATATACACCCCCCTCCTCATATACACATAAACTCAAAAGTGTTCACTACTTTCAATAAACTCTGCTCACTGGGATCTGGTAAAAACACTGAATCTAGAGATGGTTTATTATTGAGAGATATCAAGGTCCATCATTAAACTTCATATCATATCAAGGATCATATCATGGAGCTTACAAGTCCTTGCTGGAAGTTTGTATTTACGAGTTTGGAAGTCATCGTGTTTACAATGCCAGGTGCGTGCACATACATCAGTGCAAGATGTAAAAATACAGCGAGATTCTGGAAAATTAAGAACAAAAAATGTGCATCAGGTTTGTTTTGCTTTTTATGTTTTTAATAAATGTATGGTTTGGTTTGCTGTCCTTGAAAGTCCTTCAACAGTCTCCTTTCCGCCAAGGCCAAACAGACAGGACAAAAAAATCATTCTAGAGCTTTGAAGAGGCGTTTCACCTAAAAACTAAACACACACCTGCTCTAAATACCCGTTCTCACACACACAAGATGTTTGTCCAAATCAAACCACATTTCTGAAGAAAACAAACCACAGGTCTCAGTTTGCCTCAGAAGCAGAGCTTTAAAAAAAAAAAACGTAATGTGTGATCATACATGATTTTAACTGTTTTTCCATTCACTAAAATTAAGAACTGATAAATAAATCACTAGAGTTACTCTCTATTTTACCATGAAATGTAGTTTGTCCACAATTCACACAATATTCTTCTACTTTTAGCCATTGAACTAAGTCAACTCTCTTTTTCATCACACACTGAACTACTGGAGAAAATGTCTCACATGTTTGTTTTGTTCTGTTTTTGCTGCTGGAGTCTGACTGGTGAGTTATTAATACTTTTTTTTTTTCTTTTCTTTTTTTCTGAGGAATAAAGTGGCTGCTAATGTTCAAATTAGAGTTTTATCTGCTGTTAAAATGAATCATGAATATTGTGAAATCTACTAACTTTGAATTCAGGTCTCTAATTCTTAAAATATGTATATATATATATATATATATGTATATATATATATATATATATATATATATATATATATATATATATATATATATATATATATAAATTATAAACATCTACAAAAGTCATGGAAATTCATTAGTCAAAATGTGCAGGTCTCATATATTTGAAAAAAAAATATATATACTAAAAATATCCAGCACTGTAAAACTTGTATTTTCAATCTGCAATAGGCTAATTATTATGTATTGATTTTTGATAAATGATATAACTTTAAACACTGATTTTCCTCTATCCGATAATTTGAAAACAAATTAAAGATTAAGGATCTGTTGGATTAAGCTTCAATCTAGATTAAATCAAGGTTTATCTACTAAATCGGTTGCACCAAACTTTGTTTAAAAATATGCAGACTTACATTTAAATCATTTTGATCCTGGTTTTACTTTATATTTATGATTGCTATGCTTTAATGTAAAATCCTTAATGAAGGATCTGGAGTTAATGCAATTGTTTTTAATGTACAGAATTAAACATCCTAGAATATTTTGTGTGAAAATCCAATGCATTGTATTTGCTTTTTTAAAATGGGCATTTGTAAAAGTATAATAATAATAATACAATTCTTGTGGTAAGACACTAACATTAAGCTGGTTGTCTTTCCTTTTTTCATAAATTATGCTGCCATATCAGTCCATACGATACATACTATAAATATATTTCCAGGCAATTCATAAGCGCTGCTGCAATGTTTTCTGACAGTCTCTCAGTAACATTAGCAGTTTATAAACATATTTTACACATTATTTCCTTTATCAACAACCACTGATGTCAGAGAGAAAGTTTCTGGTAAAAAGGAAATTGAATATTATTGATAATGATTGATGATGTTTAATTATAATGGTGAATCCGCATTGTGGACAAAATGAACCGTAGATTAATGTTTTAATCACAGATTAGAATCATAATCCCTGATCTGTTAATATATGTGTTAAACATGATGTGCTTCAACAAACTAAATCTCACCTTTCATTTAGTTTTGTGTTTCTGCCTTGTTCTGGATCTTCACATCTAAACAAGAAAAACTGATTTCAGGCTTTGTAAACCATCAGAAAACCTCTGTGTAAAATCTGTGTGTTCATCAGGTGTGTTTGGTGATTCAGTGTCAGTGATGGAGGGAGATTCTGTTACTCTAAACACTGGTGTTACTGAAATACAAGAATATGAAGATATACTGTGGAAATATGGAGCTGAAAAGTCTCTCATAGCTAAAATTAATAAAAAGAAGCAAACCGTCTCCACATATGATAATGTTCCTGATGGGAGATTCAGAGACAGGCTGAAGCTGGACGATCAAACTGGATCTCTGACCATCACACACACCACAACTGAACATACTGGAGTTTATCAACTAGAGATAACTGGAGCGACAATAACATCAAAAACATTCAATGTTTCTGTCTATGGTGAGTGGAGACGTAATTTATCTAAACTTGTACATAATCTATTTACATACATTTATACATTAAATAATTGTTTAGTTTGAACTGAAAGACACATTCAGTGACAGTTAGCGCACTAAACACTCACTCAACACAAACTACAATTCACAACACCTAAAATAGACTGATTGTTGTGTTCACATTTCTGTTTATTCTCTCATGTTTCTCAGCTCGTCTGCCTGTTCCTGTCATCATCAGTAACTCTTCACAATGTTCTTCATCATCATCATCATGTTCATTGGTGTGTTCATCAGTGTTGAATGTGTGTGATGTGACTCTCTCCTGGTACGCAGGAATGAGTGTATTGTCCAGCATCAGTGTGTGTGATCTCAGCATCAGTCTCTCTCTACCTCTGGAGGTGGAATATCAGGATAAAAACACCTACAGCTGTGTGCTGAACAATCCCATCAGCAACCAGACCACACATCTGGACATCAACACACTCTGCCACACATGTGCAGGTACAGCAGCACTGATGATATATGTGTGTGTTTACTGACCTGGGGTGCGTTTCCCGAAAGCATCGTTAGCCAAATATATGGTCGCAAATCCCATTGAACTCTATTGGTAACGACGGAACTTGCGACCATAGTTGGCTAACGATGCTTTCGGGAAACGCACCCCTGATCTCTGTCTTCTGTTGTAGATCACACATGCATTCACTCACATTAATGACTCTCTTTTCCTCTCCTTCAGTTCCTCCAGTCTCAGTGTCTCTGATAGTGTTGATCTCTGCTGGATCTCTGATGATTGTTGCTGGATTTTGGATCTTCTGGATCTGCTGGAAACACAGAGAAACTGATCGAGAAGGCAAGAGTTTCCTGCTTTTAACAAGTGTTAACAGATAATAATAAATAATAAAATCTACTCTAAATTATGTTTATCAATTGATAGCCGATTTTATAATTCAATATTTAAATATGTATTTATGTAGGTAATGTTAAATAATGTTGGTTATTGGTTGTTGTATTGATCTGAGCAGCTCTTTACTCGTCTCACGCACAAAAACTGATTCTGTATTTACTTTTTCTCTGTTAATAATGATGTTTTGTGTGTGAAAAGCAATAATGTCAAATTCCATATTGCCATTTTTTAAATTTCAGTATTAAATATATTTAAGTCATTGTGTGCAATAACTTTGACAGCCTAAATCACACATATGTTGTAAAAAATAAAACAGATCTAGATTTGTAGTTTTAATCTCTTGCTGTTGTTCAAGCAGTTCAGATTCGTGAAGATGAGAAAACTTCTGTTGTTATGTCACTTCATCCATCGTTCTATGAAAGAAACACACAAACATCGGTAAGATCATTTATCATTAGTTTCTGTTGTGTGTGTTTGTCTCATTCAGCAGTGAGTCAGATGGAGATCAGTGTGTGATTGTGTTTCTATAATCATCATCACACATCAGATATTTTCTTTATTTATTGTAGTTCCAAAAGAAGCTATTTTACTGTTAATGTTGTATTGTTGATGTATAAAACATTTCAGTAAAAGTAATCTATAGTTGATTTATCATCTTGTGGCTCTGATGTAACACAGAGGTAAATTAAAAGGAGTGTATTGTAGCTCCTATTTTAACAGATTATGTTACTTTCATATTATGATTGATCACATTACATATTACTAGCTAGTATTACATTTCAAAACAATTCATTAACACAAAATGATTGCAAGATATTTTATTATAATAAATTAATCAAATGTTATAAGTGTCACAGACAGCAGAGGAAAACTAATAAAATACAACTAACCGTATAATTGTGCAAAAGAAAGGACAAAAAATAAACTAAATTTTATATGGAGGAAGAAACTCAAACTGTATTCAGACACAGATTCATACAGTTCAGGCTAATATTAATACAATATTAATCTATTGTTATTTAGGTATTTACAAAATTGTCAGTTTTCACATTCAGCTTAGTGTTGTTATGATTTTACATAGTTAGGACTTTGCAGTTCATGCTAATATTTGTTTTTAGTTTTCATTTGAAATATCTTATTATATCTTGTGTGATGTGTTATTCACAGAGCGCTGAAGAGGAGAGTCACGTGGAGTATGTGTCTGTCAGCAGGAGAAGATGATTCAATATTTCAATATAAAGTAGGCTGATACAGCTGTGGGATCATTTCACTATAGGAAACTTCCACGACGATCGAGTCTATGGTATTAAGATTGATATTCAAGGGAATATGCATAATGATCTCATAGCGACTCATGCTTTGATACGCAGGACTTTCAGTAGCCTACTTATTTCCTGCAAGAGTAGCAGCAGCTTCTTAACACACTTTTTCACACACACACACACACACACACACACACACACACACACACACACACACACACACACACACACACACACACACACACACGCACGCACGCACGCACACACACACACACACACGCACACACGCACGCACGCACACACGCACGCACGCACACGCACACACACACGCACACAAACACACACACACACACACACACACATTATATATAAAGATCATATCCTGTTTTTGTCAATTCTAGAATGGAACCAATGTATAAATTTAGTCATTTTAGAAAACAAACGAGTCGACCTCTTCTAGTCTCCAGATATGCTCAGGTTCATCATTCAATGCAAGTCTGTGGGATGTTTTTCACCTGTTTATCATCCAGCAAGTGAAAATGGTGAGATGTAGGCTACACAATGATAATATGAGCATACTAGCCAAATGCATACTAGAGCATCTTCTATATAAGTATACTATAGGCGTATTAAATAATGCTTTTAAAATTACAGTTGATTACTCGCTGGGTTTGTATTGCTGGGTAAATGTAACACATGCAAACAAACAGCAGAAGATCATCATTGATTCACACTTTCATTCTAAACATACATGAGTCTCTAGACCTTCAACAACTTTACAAACCACATCCTGATTCATACACTGCATTCATATGTCCAAGAAGACATTGCACATTTTCACAAAACCTTAAAGCCCTGATGAAGATTATCAACGGGAAATTAATTCCATTACTGTAATTAAAAACATTGCATTGATTTACATACATTTACAGTTTGAATATCCAGGGATTATTATAATAATATCAATGTCTTTGGTTTTGCATGCAGGACAAATCAAACCTGCAGTAAGTCATTCACCATCGTGAGATTCTACTAAATAAACCTCTAGAAATGTCTTTAGTCAGATCATAAACAACAGAAAAAGAAAACTGTGTAAAATAACTGCATGCATAAGTGGAGCTGTTGACATATTTTCACCTGTAATAATAAAGCACCTCAGTGGAAACTGAGTACAAGAATGGAAAAAATTTGTTTTTTACTAACGTAATATGAAAGTATACATTTCTAAAACAAAAGATAATAACTTTAACAAGCTAAACTATTGAATGGCAGTGTTATGTGATCATTGTGTATGTATTGCTTTTCTCCCTCAGTTTCTGAACATGTTTGTGTAGATTAAAAAGCATGACAGGAAGAAGCTCTTCACCTACAAACTAAACACACCAGCTCTGAATGCCCATTTTCTCACCTAAGATGTTCGTCCACCAACAGATCAAACCACATTTCTGAAGAAAACCGACCGACAGTTTCAGTGTGACTCCAAACCTCACTAAAACTGTCAGATCACCAGAGCCGGACAGTAACGGAGTACATTTACTTGAGTACAGTACTTAAGTACAATTTTGAGGGATCTGTACTTTACTCGAGTATCATTTTTGGGGAGTACTCATGACTTTACTCAAGTACATTTGAGAGGCAAATATTGTACTCTTTACTCCAATACATTTCTATCCATAACCGTGAGTACCCGAGTAAAAAAAAAAAAAAGTAAAAAAAAAAAATCTCGGACACCCTCAATTTGTTGTTTCCCTCTCAAACGTGATTGGATTGTGCAGGCACCACTGATTGGGACAGCCTATCAGCAATCACTTTCAGCTTTCCGCCAAAGTCAACTCCATGGTCAGATTTTATATTACACCTTAATGTAAGCCAAGCATTTGGTTTGATGTTCTTGAGTATGTGGTGTGTTTAACACAGATGTGGCAGTGGTGTAGCCACGAGGGATTTCTGATTTCTTAAAAAAAAAACTTTAGGAGGCAAAATATATTTTTACTGATTATGTGAATTACACTGCGCAAACCAAAGTAGGCTACTACCCAGTGAATGAAGAAGGGTTGGCGCTCAGTCTCCACAGTACATAAAATATTAATTTTGTTTTATTTTATTTTTCGGGTTTGTATTTATGAGGAAAAAACAATGTTATGGACGTGTTCTCCGTTACGGACGTGAGCGCTCTGAAAGCGGCATAAAAAATGCTTTAAAACTTTCACAGAGACATCAAACAGAAAACACAAAACCTTTCTTTAACCTGAATTTCGTTTTGCATTAATTGTATCTTAATTTTAATCAATGTTTCATCAACCAATTGCCTGGGTTTAATAAATAAGAAGTAAATAGCAGACGATAGATAAGAAACGGAGGCGCCGGCACGTGAACTGGATCTCGTCTTATAAATGAACCGAAACTCAGCGTATAAGGTAGCCTACTTGCCTCTCACAGACATGTCTACTTTTAAACAGAAAAATTCAAAACGAAAGAAAACAGACTACAGACTGCTCTCTGCTTATTGTAATCCGTATGAAATGTGCATTTCTCTCTGGCGCGTTCACTACTGAAGATCGCGAGCCAGCATCGTCAACTTCATCTTAGCCGACACTGACAAAGAAAACACTTGTTTATTAACAAGTGTTTATTAATAAACAATTAAAATATCTCCTTGCTATATTTTACATATTCATAATCATTCCTTTTGCCGGTTCTTTGTGACAGCTTTTAGGTGCTTTATTGGCAGTGCCACCCTTACATGTGGTGTGTGTGTGTGTGTGTGTGTTGTCCCCGCATTTAAGATGGGACCCCCCAAAAATTTAATTAAATTAAATAAAGCAACATGGTAAAAAGATGAAAATGACTTGATTTTACTTTCAATTCCTTTTACATTCTCCAAGGTATTAACATTAACATTTTTCATAACTCCATGTAGGACGTTTCTGTGCATAAATGTAAGCACTGTGGCAGTAGATTAGTAATGCAATATTTAGAAAATTTACTCTTGTACTCTTGATACTCAAGTACTTTTAAAAACAAGTACTTTAGTACTTTTACTTAAGTAGACATCTGAATGTAGTACTTTTACTTGTACTTGAGTAAAATTTAGCAAGGGGTATCTGTACTTTTACTCAAGTAACAAAGCTCTGTACTCTGTCCGCCTCTGCAGATCACACACGCTTTAAACTCTCCACATTTTCCCTATATGTATATATATTAAAATTGAGAACTGAATAAATAAACAACAATTTTAAAATCACTAGAGTTAGTCTTTATTTTACCATGAAAAGTAATTCATCCAATATTCAGACAATATTCTTCTATTTTAAAATATTTAACACAGTCGGGCAAGTGGAATTTGAATGCATAATTTTAAATCTATTAAACCAATTATAAAACTAAAGTTGGAATAACTCAGTTTCAATAGGCTTTTGGAAAGATGAGGAGCTGCTCATAATGAGTAACAGTAAATAACAAAAATGAGATAAACTCACAGTGTCCGCATCATTCATCCTGCCGCAGTGCATGCTGGGAACTTGAGTATCAGCAAGGATTTTTTAAAATAATTTTTATCATTTGTGCGTGTGAGTATGCATGTGTTTGTGTGTGTTTGTGTGTGCGAGTGTGTGTGTTTGTGTGAGCTTTTGCGTGTGTGTGTGTGCGTGTGTGTGTGTGTGTGTGTGTGTGTGTGTATTAGGAGGGTCAGACTCTGTTGAGGGAGGACTTGCTCAGATGCCACATTACTTCTGTTGTGTTTGTTTAGATCAGTTGTGCTAGTGTTTTTACATCAGGAAATGTTTCACGTGTGTGTTTTGTTCTGTTTGTGCTTCTGCCGTCTGATCGGTAAGTTATCATTTCTGTAATTTATTCACATCTCAGAGTAATAAACTCCTGCTGCAGTTTCAAATTAGATTATTTTCATCTGCTGGGGTCGAATCTCTCTTGTTGTTTCAGGTATTTTAATTTAAATGATTACAAATGCAAATCCTCCCCAGAAATGAAAAAATAATAATTTCAATAATTTTCAATACTTCTGCAGTAATCATTAACAACTACAAAAGTCAAATTCAGTAATAAAAAATGTGTTAAATATACAAAAGTCAAATTCAGTAATAAAAAATGTGTTAAATATATTCAGCATATTTAAACTTGTACTTTCAAGCTATATTTAATTTATCATATGAGCATTAATCTGAAAACCTGTTCATGTTCTCCAGGTGTGTTTGCTGCCGAAACAAATGAAATACAGTCAGTGTCAGTGATGGAGGGAGATTCTGTCACTCTACACACTGATGTTACTGAAATACGTGAAGACCACTTCAACATACTGTGGAAATATGGACCTGAAAAGTACATTATAGCTGAAATCAGTAGAAAATATGGATTCTTCTCCACATATGATGATGTTCCTGATGGGAGATTCAGAGACAGACTGAAGCTGGACGATCAAACTGGATCTCTGACCATCACAAACACCACAGCTGAACATGCTGGAGTTTATCAACTAGAGATAAGGGGAGCAAACCTGACATCAAAAACATTCAATGTTTCTGTCTATGGTGAGACGAGATGTAATTACTCCTGTGCTTCTTGTTTTATTATCCATTTACATATTGAAATGTTTTATTATGTTATAATGTAGTTTGAGATGAGACAATCACTGCTCATCAACACAATGAACCAAAAATAACAGTGTAGATTTATCCATATTTCTGCTTATTTATCTCATCTTTCTCAGCTCGTCTGCCAGTTCCTGTCATCAGCAGAGACTGTTCTTCATCATCATCATCATCATTATCAAATTATTCACTGGTGTGTTCATCAGTGTTGAGTGTGTGTGATGCGACTCTCTCCTGGTACGCAGGAATGAGTGTATTGTCCAGCATCAGTGTGTGTGATCTCAGCATCAGTCTCTCTCTACCTCTGGAGGTGGAATATCAGGATAAAAACACCTACAGCTGTGTGCTGAACAATCCCATCAGCAACCAGACCACACATCTGGACATCAACACACTCTGTCACACATGTGCAGGTACAGCAGCACTGATGATATATGTGTGTGTTTACTGACCTGATCTCTGTCTTCTGTTGTAGATCAGATGCGTTTGTCTTACTTTATCATTACAGAACTGGACACACTCTCTCCTTCAGTTCCTCCAGTCTCAGTGTCTCTGATAGTGTTGATCTCTGCTGGATCTCTGATGATTATTGCTGGATTTTTGATCTTCTGGATCTGCAGGAAATGTAGAAAAATTGACAGAGAAGGCAAGTGTTACATACACAAGTATTATAATAAATAACAATTTGAAAATAGACTCTGATTATTTTAGGCTATTGATAGACCTAATTATCATTTAATCAATAATTTCCCCCATTAAATTGTAGTTAACACCTTCTAAATCACTTATATGAAAAGAAACCAAAATAAATGGTAAGCTATATTTTGTTTACCAATTTCTGTAAATTTCTGTCTCTGAATACATCTTTATTTACATACAATAAAATTGGGCAGCGCTCTTTTTACTCGTCACACACACACACACACACACACACACACACACACACACACACACACACACACACACACACACACACACACACACACACACACACACACACACACACACACAGATCTAGTTAGTATTGAGTTGTGTTGTTTAAATGCATCTATTATCATTGAAACAGTCGAGACTCGTGCAGAAGAGATCACTTACGCTGATCCTGCGTTCTACAAAAGAAACACACATAAAACGGTAAGATCATTTATTCATGTCTTGTGTCATTATTATTTCAGCAGTGAGAAAGATGTAGATCAGTGTGTGCTTGTTTTTGTCTGATCAGTCACACACACCAGCGCCATATTATATATATAAAAAAGATCAGGACGCATGTTTGTGGGTTGGAGATTAATATTTTGTAAATACAGCACTTGCTTTGTTTATACAATTGAGGTCAAACCACTGGAGTCACATGGATTACTTTTATAGTGCCTTTACTATCTATTTTTACTTAGAAAAAAAACTATATATCGGAACTGATATCAGTTCAATATAATCAGGAGAAACCTTACATTTACTATTATTATATCTTGTGTTGTGTTTTTTACAGAAAGTAAAAGAGGAGGATGATGTGGTGTATGCACCAATTAAAACGAGAAGGTGATCAAACTTCAAGACCCAACTGTGGGACCTACGACAGATTTAAAGTATAATAATTTAAAATGAATTCATGAAATTACCTCCTAAAAACTTCTAACAAACTTGTCCTGTATTACAAGGACTTTTAACAAATTATCTAAACCATCTGACACATTGGGGAATGTTATGTTTTTTCTTTAAGTCTTAAAGTATATGTGTGTAAATCTCATGACACAAGTGCAAAACGTAGATGCAAAACACTCATCTAAAGGATTGAAGACTCTGCTGTGGTTTATTTTATAACCTCTGTACACAAATGTTGCTTAATCCGTTGTGCCAGAGCTGTGTGTGTTTGATGTCAGAGAGTGTGTCTGGTGTCCGCAGTGTGTCAGAGGTGTCATTAGCGTGTGGTTGAAGGGTTTTTTCCATTCCTGCTTACACGAAACCATGACTATTTTAAAACCTGCTTGACAAAATACTGATCTTATCAATGCTGGTACAAAAAAAGTCTCAAATCAAACAAAGAAATTACTGTGGAATATGAAAATATCATATTCTTTGTGTGCATAATGCATTATGATCTTTTATGCATGTAGTGATCGTGCAGTAAATAAATGCTGGTTTCAGTGGTTTTTTCAGCTTTAGCAACACTTCCTTCTAGAAAAAAACTATTCTTGATAACCCCCTTGATGCCTTGATAGGAATATCCTGTTAGCACTATTCCGACGGGGCTAGTTTTCTAATCAACGTTTGTTTGAGTTACAATTCTTATAACTCAACGTCTGTGATTTCATGCACCAGAGGGGTTTCACGACGCCTCATCAATCCGGAGGTCGGCCATTTTGGAGGCACATAATGTCATTGAACTGAATGGACTCGCAAATTTGGCTGATTATTGCTGCTGAATAATGGTCGAGTTTTGGTCTGTACCAATCGGTCACATCGGGAAAAAAACATGTCGAGTTCTATAGACTGTCAAAAGTTAAAGAGAAGAGAGAAAACTGATGAAAGAAGGCGTTTGTGGTTGAGAGAGGTACAGCATCAGACACGTGTAAATGAAACGTTGACTGGCTAAAATGTCGACGTAGTTAACTATGGCTACATTCACACTGTCAGTCCAAATCCGATTATCTTTGTATCAAATTGGAATCTGATCTAAAATGATGTCCACACTGTGTATCGCAACTGTTCAGATCCGACGTGTGTGTCCATGCATGTTGGTAATATGGCAATGACTTTGCGTTGATGGAGGGGGTTGTATTTGCAATATAATGTTAGATTGTGTCTTATTTAAATGTTACAACATGGAAATGTGTAGCCGCCGCGCTGGACTACTGCGGCAGAACTGTAGGAGGCTGGTATGTACTGCTATTTTCCCACGTTATTTGTCTGCGCCGGTTTCAGAAATAATACTTTTCTGCTCGTCCAGCACTTTGCAACAACACAGCATTGTTTCGGCAGTGACTTTCAGCATGTTTCCTATAAATGATGTTTGCATTTTAAGACATACCACGCGAAATCCGATCGTTCAGACTGAGGCTGATGTCCTGATATGTGATTTGAATAGGATTTCAAACCACATATGGATGTAACTTGAAACGGATTTCATGTGCTTTTTTGGACTGACAATCTGAACGTATCCTATGTCGGGGTAATAAATAGATGGAAGAATTTCAGTAATGTTACGTGCTAGAAAAGCTAACTCGTTCGGATCTTTACCACATATTAACTTTAGTTTGTCAAAATGTTGCGCTCTCTCCTGCTTCCCAAGTCCTTCTCTATATGATTTCGCACCTACCAGGTGTTTTTTCCGTGGTTTATTAGTGTAACAATGTGTTCAGTAGTACATAAACAGTGCAATCCATGCTGTTGTTTACATCCGAGTGCCTCCATAATGGCCGCGCATCCGGGTTACCGCCCAGAACGTGACATTGGTGAAACCCCTCTAAACGGACGGGATTAACATCTTCATGTTTATTACAGAGGAGTGAGTGTTTTCTTAATGTGGGCGTTACAGCAGGTCATGTGCTGCGTGCATCACAGATAATGTATATGTGTTTTAATTTATTATTTGGTGATATAATTTAAATTTATTATAAAAACTACTCTGTATATCGTAACCTCAGTTCCCTGAGATAGGGAACGAGTATTGCGTAGCTATACGCAGTGGGGGAAACTCCTTTTCCTCGATTTACTGAAGCCTATATGTAAAACTATTTGCAGCTGCACAGCTAGCACACTGAGCGTCTGACCCGCTCATAGGCTGTGCTGCAGCAACTGCACATCCAATGGCGCGGGCGAATCTGACGCACGACCAATAAGCTAGCCCAACGTCTGAGCCCGTCTAGGGGGCGTGGCCCAGCCTATATAGACCCCCGAATTTGCCATTATAGCAGGTTTATACGACTGAAGCGACAACTTCACTAGTTACCATAGTGCGGCCGGCTACGCAATACTCGTTCCCTATCTCAGGGAACTGAGGTTACGATAGTAACCGAGTAGTTCCCTTTTGAACGGTCACTTCGTATTGCGTAGCTATACGCAGTGGGGACACCATGCAAAACGCCGCACCCTGAGTAACTGGTTGCCCTGCCACTCAGGACCCCTGAGCTAACAGAACAAGCCAGAACCCAATAACATATGCATATACATGTATATATAACAGACCAGACACAGTCGGGTCTGAATAATATATATATATAAGGGTAACACTTTATTTTAAGGTGCTTGTAATAAGCAGTATTATTACAGCTTATTACAGTAAGCTGTAATAACTTACAGCTTACTGTAAGTTATTACAGTAAGCTGTAATAAACAGTTAATAAGACACTTATAAGACCTTATAAAATGCATATAAGATGCATATAAGCATTAACTACTTCATATAAGGGTTAATTAAAGGTCCAGGCCCTGAAGAGATCAGGGAAACTACTCCCTCTTGGGAAGGTCAATTTTTAAGTGACTGGGAGTTTGTGTTACCATTTATATATGTTCGTCTGTTCTAAAAGTGCAATGTATTGATACTTGATAAATTTATTATTTAATTTAATTTATTTATTATCATTAGTTAATGCTTATAGGCATCTTATATGCATCTTATAAGGTCTTATAAGTGTCTTATTAACTGTTAATTACTGCTTATTACAAGCACCTTAAAATAAAGTGTTACCTATATGAGTCAGCAACAACTAACAGAATATACTAACAAAACCAGACACCGTCGGGATTATTAGTATAACCTTATTACCGGCCGAAGCGGGTTTATATAAATATGTATGTGATTATGCACAGTAATTTTTTGCATATAAGACCAGACACTGTCAGGTCTCAATCATACTGAAAGCACCTTCGCCTGCAGGGAAGGTACCTCCATATTATAGAACTTCATAAATGTGGAAGGCGAGGACCAGCCGGCCGCATCA